CTGTTTTCAAAACATTTTTTGTGTTGTACAGATCTCAAAAGTACAAAGAATGCAGTTACTATAATCAGGGTCACCATGCATAAGGAAAAAAAAAAGGCAAGAGATGGAGAGTTGTTGGAAAACTCCAGGGAAATCTGAACTACAAGTAAAAGGTCAGCAGCTCCTTAAAGCACCAAAAACATCATGAATGTGCTCTATTTTATATTAGAAGGATATTTAATTAAATAACTCTTACTAAGGAAAAATACATTACACAGATGGTTTTAAGGTACAGCACTGCTATTAATTTGTCTGTGAGGTTACGAGCCCATGTGAGTGCTAAGTCAGATTAAAGACATCTTAGACTGTGCCAACCCACTCCATCACTGAAGTGTGTTATATAATTAGATTTCTATGTGCAAAAGACATGACACCATCTGTAAGTCAGTGTCATCATTTGTCATCCATAGGTTTCTACACTAGGGCACCAGCTTGCTTAAATATAATGCCAGGCCACAAACACTCCCTGTCACAGCCATGTTTATGGCAGTATTGATGGGAGACTGTATACCACCTGCTTCACTGTCCTGATTGTGCGCTCAGTGACCTCCATCTTTTTCGTCCTTTAAAGAAGCTTCTGCCAAGCCTCCAATTTCCAACTAACAGAGATATGCATTGCTTTGCTCTCAATATGCTTCACAAAAATTCCTTGTGCACAACATTGAATATGGCTTTCATTATAGGACACAGGCTTTAAAATGTTTGGTGGCTCTGTGGAAGAGTGATATACTCAATAACCTTACTACTGGTCGCTAAATTGGGAGAGTATTGCTATATTAAAACATTCCCATACACTGAATTTAACAGTACCTAATAATGAACAAACACCTCTTCCTCCACCAGATTTAAATAAGCACTGCATTAAAAATAACAACATTTTGTGGCTGAGGTTATCATTAACATCCATTTGTGTCATTCAACTTTGATTAATTAAAAGGATAAAATGTAATGAGGAAGCACTAAAATTGACAAAGCAACATTTACGATTTTTTTTATACGCTTACCTGTTAAATACTTAAATTACATCATATTTCTTTGTGGCTTAGCAGCTCTAAAATTGATCTCTTATCTCTGACATAAATACCTATCAATCTCTACACTTCAGATATGAGATAGCTCAAATGAACTCAATGTACCTGTATGTATTCATGTGGACAGATTGGCTTTGCAAACTTATTGAGATATCTATTTTTTGTGAGCAGTAAATGATCAACCTTTTTAAATAAATATAATGTAATCCAAAACTGTGCATCTTTTACGGTGAAGGTGACACACGCTGCAGAGATAAACAAGTAAGTTGCCCCCTGCACCACAGTTCTGTTTGTACCAGCACCCATATTATGGTCACCCTGACCTTCATTATGGTTGTATTTCAAGTTTAAGTATAACAGAATATGAGAATCTCTACCTTCTGTAACAAGCCAATTATAAACCCCTGTGTTTCAGAACAGTGATCTGTGAGAGCGGTCTATTTCGGAAGTTCAGTTTAAACATAGGAACAGAAGAAAAAAAACTCAGATATTTTACCGTCTGATCCTTTGCTTAGCAGGCGTTGGTTCAGTTCATCTCCTTTGTTCTGCAATACAGAGATCAATACTAACTTAAGTGTGTACTGCAATGTACAAGTTGCTCTTGGGGGCTTTTTGCTCAGCAATAAACTTTGTTAGAGAAAATGTTTTCACCTAAAAAAAAAAGAAATCAAGAAAGGTTAAGCTAAATAAACTGGGGGGCATAGGCCCATAAAATAAATGTTTTGAAACTCCCAATTAAATCTACAAACATAAACTACAGAAAGGGAAAAACATTTTTTCTTCTACGCTTTATTAAATGTGCTGTGGCTTATCTGGAGCAAATTTAAGTGGAGACAAAACACTTTGAAACACAACCTCTTGGCATGCTAAGACACCTTGAGAAGGTTTAAAAGTATCTGGTCATGATGACATTTGAAAATGCTAAAAAAAAAAAAAAAAAGACGATCGTGCAGTACTTTGGGATTTGACTAACCTTCAGATCACAAGTGCACCCCAAGTCATCCGTTACTGAGGAAGCAGGCGTCAGATGTGAAGGCTTGGCTACTTCTTCTGGCATGGTGGGTTTAAATGGGGGATTTTTCAAGAGATGGTTCAGACTCCCATGGGTCCCATTGTTGGGAGCAGGCTTCAAACCCAGAAGGTCTAAAGGAAAAAAAAACGTTTTCCCAGTTTTTTTTTTGTTTTCTTCAACAATTTCCATGAATTAACCAAGTATTGGATTTTACAATGAAGACTGCCTAAGGGAAAAAAAAAAAAAGAGATGCCTCTGTCGACTTAAATAAACCTAAAACTTACCACACATGACATTGTAGAGTTCAATGTTTTCAAATGGTGGAACCTTTGTCTTGTATTTAAATGTAGGTCCATAGGCCAAAAAGATGGTCTGAAAAACAAATCTTATTTAGTAATAATAGCAACAGCTGAATAAACGGGAGGTTCCGATTCAAGAGCCACATACCTGCATGCTGTTGATCTTGTTGTCATAGCCATGGTCTCCATAGAAAGCACATTTCCCAGGGTGCTTCTTTCCTTCAGCAGGTTTCCTAGACAAATATAAAACTTGGATATTAACTAGGAGTTATAAGAAATCATTACACTGGCCACTTTTCCAACTGTTGGAGATCCCAGTCCTATTGCTTGTCTCCATTTATTGATAACCTGCACCTGTTAACACGAAGGACAGGATATCTCCTAGATGTAGCATTAGTGGCAGGAGCATTACAGCACTGCAGATCCACACATCACACCAGACTGGTTTTATGCGGCGAATAATTTGCCTAGCCTCAAACCAGCTGTGAGTGAATGCAAATGATACTAGAAGATTTTCTTATTTCTAGGAAAGCTTCCTGTGTGCCTTTTGCTTTTTTAATGTTCATTTGTACTCTTCTCAATTTCCGCTTGCCACCTTAACTGTTTTTTTTTTTTTAAAGAAAACGGTAAAGGAACAGACATCAATATATTGTTGAGGACTGTGTGCAGTGATGTAACAGAAACTTCTGAGCATTGTACTACAATGCTGCTTTCCCTCGCAACATCCTTCCAATCAGCCCAGAGGTTTGCAGAAGATACATGTGTTGGAATAATTGGTTGACAAAACAATATTTATATAACAGAATAATTTAGATTTAGAATACATTATTCAAAAGGTAAGAGGCTAGCATGGATATCTATTGGCTAGCTATTGAATGTTGAGTTTAAACCATTCTTTTTCATATATTTTCCTTATTTATTTTATGATGATACCTAATTACATACAATTCTTGCTAAAGCAGCCACAGGTACAGAAAATAATATCAAAATGCTTCTTTTTTTCTAAACAAACATTAACATAGAAACTACATAAAACAGTGTGGCTCCTTTCTAAATCATAATGTAATGTTTATGGAAAGAGTTTCTGTTATTTTTACCCAATTTAGAAACACCGATAATAGTATTGAAAGAAACAGCAAAAACACCAAGTACTCCGATCGTAAAGTCAATAAAATGATTAGTCTCTAATCTTGTATAGAATTCACATGGACACCCAACTGTTACAGCATGCACACTAGATTAAAAAAAAAAGATTCAGGTGCGCAATCACATTTCAATTAAATCATATCCCAGCATCCAAGAAACCAGATTCTGATCTCTACTGCAGGAAAACAAAAATGGTCACACTGAAAAAATAATCACTTTTAATTTGCACAATCCAATTGGATGAATTTTCTTTTTATGCTATTGAGGTTAAAATGCAATTGCATACCTTTCACTGAATTAATTTTATTGTATAAAGCAATCATTTGAAAACAGTGCCCCTGCAGCACATTTTAATAAAACATATTGTCTAAAGCAGTAGTTCCCAGCCTTCTGAACCTTACAAAGCACATGTAAGTGCATGAACATACATATATTGAGTAACTCAGGTAGGAGACTGGTGATGTTTCTCCAATTTCACCGACAGGCATGACAAGTGGGACTGACAACAGTTTTAATCTCAAATCCAATGCCCTATCATGTTTTTATTTTCTGCAGACTCCCTGCAGTAGTTTCACAGACCACCAGAAAGCCGCACACTACAGGCTGGGAACTGCTGGTCTTTTGTGGAATACAGTATAGTAGAACTTTTGAGACAGAATGGTGTAGTGTATACACCTTGTATGATATAAAAGTTTTGAAAGTGACGTGATTTTTTTTTTTGTGATCTTGGAGGCTGGATCCTGGACCTCTTGGCAATGTGAATTTTAATGCAAAGAACCAAGTTAAAGGAAAAAGAAAAAAAGTTACTTCATGCCAATCAGAATAGACTTTTCAAGCATTTCAAAAAGTCTTGTTTCACCCAAGTTTGATGCATTGTTTTTTGCATGCCATTCATTACCTGAGGGAATAATCCAAGTGACTGCATGGCTCCAGATGATTTTTAATGCTTGATTCCAACATATCTCTGCTGAGTGCGAGAGAAGTTACCTGCCAATCAATTTCTAGCAATCATGGAGCACAGCCTATCCCCGAGGCACTATACTATAAGCCTCATTCAAAGAGCATATTTTCAAACAGTATCTTGAAATAAATAGCTTTTCTGTTTGGAAGACCTTTTCATCATTCTACCTTTCTGATTATCTAGGAAAAATACAGATTTGTTTTAGCTTTAGAGGATTTAGATCACTCACCAAACAAATGAATGAAAAATATTAAAAGCATTTATCATTATGTTTTAACACAGCAATATCTGCATTATATCTGTATTGTTCTTAACAACCAAGATGACTTTATGGGATATCCATAAGATATCCAAGACCTGTGACCATAGTAAACATTATGCATTTCATGTAGGGAGCTGCGTCAATATGCATAGGCTGCAAAGGAACAGGTAACAGCTTTATTCCATACGGAAAAGAAATGAAAGGAAACAACTTCGGCTGTGAAGCCTTCTTCAGGTGTGAGGGAAGAAGGCTCACAGCTGAAGAAGGCTTCACAGCCTAAATGTTGTGTTTGCTTTCTTTTCAGCATGGAACAAGGCCATTACCTGTTCCTAAACATTATATATTAAGGAAAGTGTCTGTTGGAAACTGTCAAGGTTATCATTTTTGATCAGTTTCAAAGAACTCCAATTAACATTGAGGAGCACAAAGGACTAAATGCATATCCTAAAGTGTAAAAATATCTGGTTTTGACATACTTCTTTTAAATTTTATTAAGCATGTCTACGGACTCCATGCACACAGACCTACGCTGAAACAAGTTCAAATTTGACTTCGCTCTCACCTTAAAGCTGCAAGTACACAGTTTTCAAGTGAGGCACTACCTGAAGTTCGGCAAACGGACTTGATCTAAACCTTTTTAAATGGAGCTGCATACGTCTGCTATCTACAGGAGGATACTTAGCTTGTTGCTAAGTAAAAAAAAAAGTTTCTTTCAGTTCATTCGGCTGGTACCGGTGATTAGACTGTATCTTTGCAGCAAGACTTGAAACATGTCTTTCATTTTTCTTTCTCGTTTGCCAAGTAAAATATGAGAACCTCCCAGTAGAGACAACTTCTTCTTGAATTCCTGATTTCCCCCCTCAGTTATTTTCCCGCCCATTGACTTGTTTTGACGTCATGGCTGCGATTCTTCAAAGCAAGAAACTGCCACCTTGTCTGGGTCTGAACACATTAAACTAAAGGGTCTTTCCCAGAAGCTAATCGGTGCTCGCTCTACGCTTAAAAAACATTTTGGAATGGCTTATTGGCTCCACAGGATGCCATTACCTTGCAACATGCCACTTCCTTTCCACAAGCAAATGGATGTCTTCAATTCTTCGATTATTGGCGTAGTGTAAGCGCTTAGGGAGGTGCTGCTTCAGGTAAGGCTTAAAGTGCTGGTCTGCTTTCTTACACTGAAGACACAAAATATTAGTTAGCCTAGACGCGACTGATGTAACTCGAGCATAAACCTCTATGTTCAAACTGTGCAGGTCAGTTGGACATTTGGCCTTCATCCACAATAATGTGAAACTGCTCACCATCGGGTTAAAACAAATGTGGCGGCCTGTTCTCCGTGCATTACATAAATGCTGAATAATGGATATCACCTAGGTATCCAATGTCAATGCCTTAACTGGAAGCATAAACTTTGAATGTTACTATAGACTACCTAAGTGAGAAATAAGCGGCATTCCATTTCAGATGGCAGGACGCCATAGAAAAGTGTACTCACCGTTAGATTAGCTACAATTGCTTTAGGGTCATCTGAAAATGAAATAAGAAAGATGTTAAAGATTTACATGAGCACATATATTTGTAAGTAATTTATATTTTAGGTAAGTTACATAAATTAGAACACTAAACATTTTTCCTGCCTCTATCGCACAAGGAAAATACTACCAGTTCCAAAAATATCACCAGTCCCAAAAAACTCCAAACCTATACATTTTCATTTCTAGATCATTCAATAGGTTGATAAAATGCAGTTATGTTCTGTTGATATTGCTGTGGTAATTACTGCACTGTAAACAGCAGATACATTCCATAGTGCTCTACAGTTAGAAATTAAACACCATAGACAACACCCAGTGCTACTCGACATGTAGGATAAACTCTGAAATAATGCTTTCACTTCTCATTAATCTATATTCTCCATGTCATAGAGTGCATGTACAATTATTCACCACAGGTTCAAATGCCGTTAGATAAAATTAATAAGTCTATTAACATTAATGTGTTCCACATAGGTGGCCAAGACTATACAGAAAATGAAAATAGTGACTCAGACCATTTCCATCTAACCTGATGACTGCACACTTTTCTCAATAAGCACTTACCAAACATCATGGTTAAAACACTTTTGCAAACAATTTTATTCATTAAAAATAGAGCATTATTATATAACAATTAGACTTATGCTGAAATTGACAATTGAGCCAAGAAAGAGAAATTGCCTTTTAGCATGTTTGCAAGGGTCCTCCTGAGCAGCCCTGAGGGACGTTTGCCGAAACGCTTCACTTTAACTTCAGTAATCAGGACGGAAAAAAAAAAGAAATCAAAACGGTATTTCCTGCAAGAGAGCTCAGATTCTTGTGGCACGACAAACCCCGACGCAAGAAATCTGAACAGAATAAAACGCAATCCAAAAGTACAGGTGATTCACTAGTTAGCTTTGCATGTCCTGCAGCATTACATTTTATAACTCACATTTGGAATTGTTGGGTGATCTTGAGCGAATTCTGCCTAAAGATCCTGGTATCAAAATAATATCATCCACATTAGGGAGGTAAGAACTTAAGAATTCAGTTCTGTCGCAATTGGCTTCTTCCATTCCTATGTAAAAAAAAGCATAAATATGGAGTAATTAAACTAAGCATACTATCCAATTCTTACAAATCTTGATGCATTTGATTTAACACCAAGAGTATAAGAGAACATGCCAGAAGAAGAGTGGAGTCAAAACAACAGCCAGCAACATGTATTGGTATTCTATAGGGGAAATCATTTCAAAACACTCTCAGCAATGGAAAATTAGACCTTAAAACAAGGATTTGTATACATTTATACACAATATATGCAATACTACCCCTCACCAAGATTAGCACCATAATCACTGGATTCATTTGCATGATCATGTGGCAGAGCAGATACTAGGCTTGGTTAATGGAAAAAGAAGTTCTACAGTAAAGTTCCTTTCTGCCAGAGAGAATACCGTGATCTCCAACGAGGATAACATTGACACAGCGGTGCAGTTTCATCTGCTTCAAGCCGTCCATCAGCTGCCCAACAACTCTGTCAATCTCTTTCAGAGGGTTATTCAACTGTGCAAAGAAAGAGTACACAGGGTGTTTACCATTTACAAATGGCACATAGATTAGCACAGCCAGGTTGGACTTTTCCCAGGCATAAAAGAGCTTGGTTTTTTTTTTTTTACAAAAAAGCAGGTATTATCCTGTAAAAAGCAATCAGTCCTCAGTGAAACCAGTACATGTGTGCAGCAATGTAAATTACCTTGGATAATACACAAAGGTTTAGCACAGTCTGCCATTCATCCATTAGCAGAGAGCAATTTATTCACGGTAAGGTTGTTTCACCTCAGATTATTAGAACCAGGATACAAGACGGGACCCTGGTTGGGATGCCAGTCTATCGCAGTGTACAGACACAAGTGCACACAAGAAGCATTTTATAGAAAACAGCTTTCCCTGTTCAGGGTCTGCAATTCATTTTCTAACCTCAAGGCAGGAAATGTAAAAAAAGACAGCTGAACAAACAAATGTCAGAGGGATAAAGAGTAATATTTAATGGATGTACCTTATTTTAAATATTACACCATACTTACATGTATTAAGTAATAGTAATAAGTTTAAGCAAGTTAAATAAAATAAGCAAATGCGTATAAGTGCTCTTTGGACTGATGTTACTTTATTTACCCATGAATTTACTATAAATAATTGTACTAATAATTCCTTGAATTTAGAGAATAGATCTCATCTGCAAAGTTTAGAGAATCCACTTCATCCACCACTGAAGTGCAGCACCCACTTGGGTGACATGCAGCTGCACTCATCTGTCCCAGCAGCTGTACTACAAAGCAGATGCAATGGAAAAGTGAGACTTTACCAATCAAACTTCAGGGAGACTACGTTGTACAAGCCCAGAGCAGAATTTACCTAGAAGAACGGGGTTAACAGCCCTACTATTACGAAAAAGTGCATGGGATCAAATAGTCTGGATCTTGTCTTAACATCTCTTCCATAGGACAGTATTGCCTTACAGCTTGGCACTTGGCCACCATACTGGGATATTGATTTGTAAATTCTGATCCGAAGGGAATAGCGCCACCTACAGGTCTACCAATACCCCTTACATCAGAAACCTAGTTTTCTCTGGAGTTCTTCCATTCCCATAGTGACCAGGCTCAACCTGGTTTAGCTTCTTAAACCTTAGGAGATCTGATGGGAAAGTAGTAGCTAAGCTGTAGCTTCATACAAACATCTAAAATGTTGAATGTCAATTGATACTGAGTATCGGTAGAGAGGCACTAGACATTCCAATTATCCTACCCAGCATGCCTCTGGGCTGAGGGGAAAGAACTGGAGCACCTGGTGCAAACAAACATTGGGAGAACACACACTAGGTGTCCCAGGCTGGAAGTGAGCACTGAAGAACACAGCAGTGTGACCCTTCACAGTACTGTACCACCCTAAGAGACTCAATGTAATTAAGCATGTCTTGGGGAGTACATTTTCAGATGTGTTCTCCTTGTGCAAATACTCATGAAAAGTCTTTGCTGTCCACAGAATATTTCTGGACGTAGGAGAGTATAAGATTTTCCCACATCTTGACCATTTTATTAGTGAGTGTTAATTGCAACAGTACTGATTGTCAGCATTGAGGGGTATGCATTATATGAGCAAACATCTGAATGCAAAAGTGCTGTGTATCTATATGGTATTAAATTTTAGAAGTTTGGTTTTCAGGAGCTTCAGCTCAATTCTTAGCATTAAAGCACTTAAAGCTCAGAGCCCAAAGAACAGCATGCTAGAATGATTTTTACATAAAAAATTAGTTGTACATTCAGTGTTTTCCTTCATTGAACATAGCTCTTGATCCTCCTGAAGTTTGTTTTTTCAACTGTTTTCTTTTGACTTTCCAGCCTTGAGCTTAGGAAATCGAATACAGACCCTTCTTGAACACAGAAAGCTGTTTTCTATTAAACACATCTGCTCTGCATTAGCGCAGTGTGCAGCAGTTGTTTCACATATGGGAGGCCTGAACATCAGGAGGACGTTCAGTTTTTTTTCCTCCCCTGCTCTTCTTAAATTAAAAATCTCACCTCACTGCTTAAAGGTCCGAGTCTGTGGCCAAAGATATCTGGTTGCTCAGAGTGGAAAGCATAGACATATGGCCTGAAATTACACATGACATATTGTTTCATTAAGTATAACACTTGCAGTATTTACTTTATAAATCCTTTTATATAACAGTTCAAGGAAAGTATCTTTACTTTAACAACCTGCCACAGACAGATTCTACTGACTGAGCTGTAATTATCTTTCATTAGGCTTCATTGAAGATCCCAAGCCTTTATAAGAAAAATCCATAAATGAACCCCCCAATCTCACAAACAGCATGGCCCCAGCTACAGGCAATCAATGTACACCAGTACACAATTCAACTCCTATACTACAGAAACAACACAAAGGAGAACGGAGTTAAAAAACAGAATGATGGAAATTATTAAGGAGGGGGTGATTTCCCATTTAATATAAATCTGCATTAGTTACCTCCTGCTCTTGTGAAGGGAACTATGAGACCAATAAAAAGAAAGCTTACTTCATTCATATCATTACGTTATGTATTGGCTGACATTCCTTATCCTATATAATACTTTCTGTGGGATTGTCTGATTAGATTTAAACTCATATTAACAACTGACCTAAAACTAACAGATGGCCCAGCTGGGGAAGCAAACATCTTCACTTTACACAAGACTAAAATATCTGAATTTTTAGTTATTTGAAGATAAATAAATGTGAAAATAATACATTTGAAGAGAATATGACAATATAACCTGTAATGCTAACACGCCACGAACAGAATACAATTAAATGAAATACAACTAAACATGGCAAAAATACTCTGTAATCTCTGAAGTGTACAATTCAAATTGAGATTTTTATCTTATCGGTAAGACTAAAGACAGAAAATGATCCACAGTAGCAGATGCTGCAGAAAGGGGGTGGTTAACGTAGCTTATTCCTAAGAATATAACACCCTTTAACGAGAAAAAATGAAATTCAAGTAAATATATTCACATATATTTTCATGTTCCTCTTTAAAAATGTTCAGTTTAAAACTGTAGACAAACTCTACAAGATATGTTTTTTGACAGCAAAAAGAAATGATCACCTTTCATTATCAGGAAGGTGGAGCCAGTGCAGAATAGTCAGTACTCTCCGTTCCAAAGGAATTACTCTGCAACAACAAAAGAAAGGCACTTCATATTTTTGTCAATGGTGGAAATTAACACTAAACTAATAAAAAAAACACTAAACTGCAAGAAGAGAATCCCGACTTTTGAAGATACCCTTCTCATGTAACATTTATATTTGTTTTGTAATTGACCACAAAAATCTAATTACCCATAAAATACTGGTAAATGTTTCAATGGCACTTCAAAGAAGTACAGACTATTCTAAGCTTTTAAGAGAACAGCTTCAATCTTCCAATTTACTTGATATCAAAGCTTTAAAGAAAACACTTTTCCCTTATTCTTTTTATTCTATTTCAAATACTTGGCATTTAATATTAACATGTCAAAGTCATACATTTGTTCCAAGCACGATTTCCATTTTACAAATGATTTTTTTTCCAACCAAATTAAAGACCCAGCAACTAAAAAGATCAATGATGCACGTCTCGTGATTCTTGAGCAATTTTGTTTCCCTGTAGTTTTACAATGTTTGAACTTTAATAAGCTTCTCAAGACAAACTGTGGTTAATTACACATCCAAAGGCTTTCTTACTCTTATTTAAAACCTTCCTTTCTTGTTTTTCCAAAGTGAAATGAGGTGACAGTACCCTTTTGATGAATCAATCCTAAGCAATTTTAAAAGGGCAAACATTCTGTAACAGAAACCTTGAAGTCAGTTTGATTAAGGAAATTACAATGAACCTCAGAGGTTGAAGAGAAAGGATTTGTCAGATCTTCCCCTTTTCCAACCCTTTGAAACTCTAGGCCTCTCACAACATCACTTTCCAAATCATGGGGTGCTAGCAGCTGCAAGTTCAACTGGCACACATGTCTGTCACATGTTCTCTCAGTCCAGCAGTGAGGCCTAACTGACAGGGGGTGTCTCAAAATCTCTGTGGGGAGCCACCTTCCTTGTTACTTCGGAAGCCCTCCCTGAAACTAGGTCAATAGCATCTCAAATCCCCTTCTTCCCGTCACATAACCATTTGTAAATAAAAAAGTCACTATAACTTGCATTGCTAACAAATTTTAAATTACCATCATTCTATAATTCAAGAGGCATCTTACTGCTGAGTTCAGAGACGCACCCCACACATACAAATGTTAATTCCACCTCACACAATTTTCTAGCTTCAAGTTCTCCTCTCTTATTTTCAAGTCAATCTCAAAATGGGAAAGCGACGGGCTGCTATTTTAAATTCTCTTTAAAGCATTTAAAGATAATGATGATGTTCGGAAAACAGGCTACATAAAACAATTCCATTCAAGGAATTACTTGTAACCTTGATAAGAAAAACACTTGACAAGAACTTGGTGACTCACACAGGCCAGAAGAAAGTGCCAGCCTTTACCCCTTGCTTGACTGAAGTGATCCAGATCTAAAAAGAACCATAATCATTCAAACACAAGCAGACGCCATAGTCAAAGGGAAACATTCTGCAAAAAAAAAGTTGAAAATCTAATAAAGCAGCTACTTCAAAGCATAAATACAAGGGTATTTTCTCACAAAAAAATGCACAGTATGACGATACATTACATATGCATTTGAACTACAATTAATTCAATGTATGCTGCAATTGAAGATACTAGAATCATTATTCTCGTTCTAGTTCCTAATAACAGTGTACAAATACAGTCACAAATTTGGAAAATTAATTTTGCTTACACTGCTTAAATCTAGTCAATGTAATCCTTCTGTATGCAAAAACTGCAAACCACAAGCACAGCTAAATCATCAGCAGGCAGTTTATGCTGATGCTTCATTTATTATCTACTAAAGTTATCTCTTAAATTCTCATTTTTAAATGCAATAGTTTATTATTTTCTCATCCACAGCCAATTCAAACAAAGTTACATTAAATACACTGCAGCAGAGCCAGCTGTCAGGCAATTTCAGTACAAATTGTTCACAGATGTGCAAGGCTTCTTTTCTGTAATGGCTCAGAGCCATTTAAAGAAAGGAACAAAACTTACTGGTTGACCTCCCCACCAGCGATGATTCAGTTTCTCTCGACCTCTAAAGTTAAAGTTGGCATCAAACACAGGGTCATGCATGGAGTTGCCAATAATTCCATGGGATTCAGGATAAAGGCCCTTCAAAATACAAAGACCTAAGCTTTATATTTCAGATACTAACAAGATATTTCTTGAAATCAGCTAAAAAGATTTATCCTGACGCAACGGGCAGTGCAGGAGACAAACTTACTGGAAGAACCCAATGAAAGAAAACAAGGAAACAGCTCTGCATTTACAGGAGAAAAGAAACTGCGTATAGACTCTTTACAAAAGCACTTACCGTTGCAAGAGTATATAAGTTGGGATAGGTTTTTGTGGGATACATTGGTCTCATATAGGGCGCATGAGTACCACATGTTCCTAGAAAAAAAACCAACATTTTCTTAACATTTAATTTCTTCAAAACTTTTTTCCCCCAGATATTTTAAATAGTGTTGAATAACAATTCATGTTAAAACACAAACTGCTTGATACAAAATACTGGACTGTAACAATTTCAAGGCCTACAATTTTTGTTCAAATTGCTGCTTTTAACAGAGATGTTATAGGATCACTGCTGTGATCCATCAGTCACGCCCAGCCTCATCCATGCATAACGTTTAACTTTTGAAAACCCATTTTTCAACTTTACAATTGTACCATTTTGAAGATATTATCAAGGGTGAGGTGAAGCAATTACAGCATACTGTATAGTTTTACAATCTGTGTGCTTGTCTCCACTTTTACAGAAACCTGGCGAGTCTTTCCAGCTCTTGAATAATCTTACTCAGTTTATCGATGTTGGGGATGACGGTGTTTCCCTTCTTCATATAAGAGGCTCGGAAGCCGTCCACAGAGACCAGGATCAGAGGAGGACGAACAAAACTGAACCGAGAAAAATACCAGCAGTTAAAAATCAGTAAAACACAGGGGGAATTTCTTTTAAAACACTTCCCTATTCCTCCCCCGCCCCCATTTACTTCACTCTTTTGATTTTAGCCTTTTAGAAATATGGTTCCTGGCACCCTGAAATACAATATTTATATGAAAACAGTGACTAATGCAGGACAGTCAGCAATCAGCAAAACTGGCATTTCACCTCAAATAATTTTCTTTTGATTTTGAGACAGCATACATGTATATAGTCTGTATATTTGACACAAAAATTAAATGCTAAAAACAAAGAGGGTCCTGATTAAAATGACATAATTCAGTGGTGCGTCATTTGGTTAAAATTATCACCAGCAGTAAAGTGAATCCTTCACAACATTCTGCCTATAAACAGCATATGATTTTAACTGGTGACATACCAGTACAGGTGGCAATTTTAACCTTGGTTTAGTGTTAATTTCCACCATTGATGGTCTTCAAAAGCACTTCATTTACTGCAGGTATATTTATAAATCTATTCTTACAGACAATGTACATCCCACAAACAAGTAAATAAACAGGGACTGTCATTATTGAGAAACGTCAAGCTATAAAATGATTAAATATTTGATAATAGAATGAATATTCACAAAGAAAAGTAGAAATGTTTTTAAGCAAGACAAGCAGAGGTCACTAGTAACTGTTAAACCCACCTACGCCTGCCTCTTCCCACACAGGCAGAAAGAAAATTTGTTTGAGGTTCAAGAATCAGATGGTTAAAATGTAACAAGTTCAGAAACAGCAATGAACATTATCAAAAGTTGCATGCAAACATACATCACAGATAAAGTGCAAAACAAAAAATTTTAAAAATCCAGATTTTCACTACATGAAAAAATGTATTTTTGTAAAATGTAACAATAAATGAAATTTATAGAAACAATATGCAACAAAATTTATACTGCTCTCAACAGAAGTAGAATCCAAACATTTCATAATGCATTTGACAGTGAAATGACTACTATGAAGCATAACCAAGGTACATATTAGGTATTCTCTGAAAGAATTATAATTAGCAGACAGGAGATGTATTTAATGTATTCCTTTCCTACACCTAAGCACAAACACTGTCACCAAGGTAAAGGTAAAGTTCATAACATATTACAGCATGACTGACTAGTCCATCCAGACACACAAGAAAAAGGAGCTTCTTAGAAATTTCATTTTCTATTTCTAGATGCCTAATTCATAATGAATTTAACATTTTCGAGACGTAGAACTGATGGGGCAGGGTCGCTCTCCACTTTAAATGGCCAATAGTTTTACAAATCTTCTTAGAGGGAGTCACTCAACTGGGGATAATTTCAAACTTTCACTTTTAAGTGACACAGGGAAGCCTCCTCATTCAAATCCCAAAATACCATTATCACTGACAGGAGGGCTAAATTACAAGAACTATGCAGGTCTTTAGATTAAAAAAAACAAAACAGAATGACAGCTCTTCTATATACCTGGCTCGCATGGGTTTTTGGCATCATAATTCAGATCACCATGGCTGTTCATGAGGAACAACTACACCATAGCAGAAAAAAAAACATGCTGAACATAGATGGATGAGTTACGGAACAAAGAGTTTTGGCTTAACACGCTTGGCTGAGGGCCACCCACCTAGCCATAGGTCGAGGAAGTTCGGACCCCCATGCAGAGTGAAATGAACCGGTGGGAGCGCAGAGGTGGAGATGGAGCGGAGGAGGGATGCAGAAAGGAGGAAGAAGAAAGAAAGGGGCTTCTATCCCTAAGAGGAAAAGGGATGAAGGGGAATTTGGCTGGAGGTCACTCCTCCCGAACTCGTGTTACAGACTCCTCATAGTTGCTCACAGAAAAGATAAACCAAAGCGCTGCAGTGAAGGGACGTCGTGTGACTCACCCGGCAGGACATTCTGGGGTTTTGATCTCCTCGCATTCATCCTGCACCCATGGAGTTTCCCCTGACACAGAGAAACTCACATCAGTCACTCACACCAGTGCTGCCACACGGAGAGCACTACACAGTTTCAAGGAAAAATCCAATTCATGATTTAAAAAAAAAAAAAATCAATAAACTCACCACACTGAGCAAAAAAGATTTGGATACTTCTGCTTACAATTAACAACAATTAAGGAAAATAATGTATAGATGCCTACCAAATCCACACCCCCAAAAACAGCTCTTTGAAGACAGAAAATCTCAGAGATGACCTCAGGTCAAGATCCAAGACCTAACTGGAAGTTCCCTCCCTTTCCAATGATAAAAAGGACTTGCGCTCATTTTCAAAGGTTAAACAGGTTTCATCAATTCCAGTCAAGAGCAAGGTTATAAACCTTCAGGATTATTTAAGTATGTTTGAAATAGATAAAACTCAGGAGAAGTGGGAATGATAAACACCGATTTTGTTTTCCCGTCAGACTTTATGAGAAGATAACCGAGAAGAGAGCCTCAGACCTTTGCAAAGTGCTTTGTAGTTGGTGCAGCAGTCGCCTTTGGCCAGGCAGTCCTCAGAGCAATGACAGGCGTTTTCTTCATTGCGCGTCTCTCCACAGCGCTCTTTACTGCATTCAAAGCCTTGAGCTAAAATCAAATACCAAATATTCAGTATAAGGAGAAAAGGAAAACAGTCCATAAAGCATTGCACCACCCCAATTACTTCACAAAGATTAAGCACATACAGGTTTTATTAAAAGAGTAAGTTGTAGCAACATAGCAAAAAATGAGCTGCAGCTTGATGTTTTAATCTGCAAATAAACAGAAATATGAATTCAACAAATTAGACACATGATTTAGTTCTAACCATGCAAAAAAAAATAATAATCGCCCAATTCATCTCTAGCAAGAACAAAATAGGAGAAACGTTTCTCCTATAAACAGTGGTTAAATTAACCCAACCAGATCAAGAAAAGAAAACAACAGGTTGGGCTGAAAATAAAATCTGGACTGGAAAATGAACTCCGGGAACTGATTGCCCTGCCATTACCAGCAGAAAGTAGAAAAAACAATAACCAACTGGAAGAGAACAGACACGGGCTTCACAGTTAGTTACCTGTCCTTAAGCAAAGATCATCGAAATCAGTGCAACAGCTGTTGTAGGTTTTGCATAAGTTGTCACAGCGGCAGCCAGGAGGTTCAGCTTCTTGTAGTTCAAAGCATCTTCCTTTGCATGATCCCGAGGTGCTTACCCACGGGGAATCTGAAAGAGCTATCACCAGTAACAACACTTAAACATCTGCTGGAGGCCACCGTCTTAGCACAGACTGCAAACTGCAGCTGGAAAAGTGTATCTGGGAAACTGCCATCTGATAGTTTCAGCAGGATTTGTCTGGTATAACTGCTACAGGGCAAAAACGCCAAAAGAGAAAAAAAATTACTGCAAAGCCTGGAACAAGGCTACAGAGTTTGTCATCAGTACCCTTTTCAGCTGAATCCAACTGGTCATCACAGAGAGCCCATTAAAGCTTATTCAGCACCTCCCCCCAAAACGAGTCTTAGTTTACATTGTAATATTACTTAATGTGACCTTGGACACAGTATATCACCTTTATAAACAAGGTTGTGCAGTGAACGTATGTTTAAATGTACAGCACGAAACAGAAATAGATATAGGCTTTATCTGTTCATATACCTTTTCCATCTATAATACCTTCAGATGGTCCTTAACTGAAATTAAAATACTAAAGGAAGCAAAGTGATGATAGTTATACATATATAGTACAGTGTGTTGATGTGTACAAAATTACCAACAACACTGTACAACATTGCTACATGTCTATCTAAATATGCATGTAGAAAACGGAATACAAAAATACAATTTGCTGATTAAAGCCAACCAGACCTACAGTCAGTGATCTGGATTTTTCTATAAACTTTTGACGTGTTTAAAGTGGCATCAGTATAGTCGACCAAAGAGTTTACTTTCCAGCCAATATACATAGAAGGCTTCCAAAATACACTACCGTGTGACTAGTTTTTTGTGAACCAAAAAATAAAAGGCTTATTTACAGTTTTCATTTTTTTTTATTTTGCCTACCGTTACTCATATAACTGTTTATCTCTCAAGCTTTTACGCTTCTAATTTACATGATATGTTTGCTTAAACTATGTTTTTCCGTCGCGCAATTCCGTATTTAATGGCTTCCATAAAAGAAGTCTTTCACTGAAGCCTAGGAGTATTCGTATTCCACGTGCGTCTGTAGCCTGCTTTCATAATGCACAGCACAGCAACATGGGGAACACAGAAAGAGTTGTTAATGGGTCCGCTTTTCTGCACATTGGAGAACCCCCCGATAAATGGATCGGACGTAAACTGAGATTAGAAAGGAAACATCCCGTTGTGTTTGTCAGTTTTCACCAAGGGCAGCGTCAAGAGATACCGCATAGAACTACAGAAAATCACAAAGATGAAACGATCTAGAAGGCACTGACTGGGGGAAAACAAAGAAATCTTATAATAATAATTTCACAGATTTTCACTTACTAGATTCGGGGTCTGGTGGTCCCTCATCCCATTCCCCCGATCGTCGCTGGCGACTATAAACATATCCCAGACCAACGTTGGCTCCAAGAACAAGGGAGAAGACACACAGTACCTGAGGAAAAGAAAAAGAAAAGAACCGGTTACACAAACCCCTTCGCAGCTGATTTGAGCGTGTTAGTTATGACATATAAAAATACCAATAACCCTAATGACTACTTTCAGATAAATCTATTCAGGAGCTGAATGAACAGAAAAGCGGTTCTTGGTGTTATTTTCATTTAAAATAATCCAGTGCAGAAGTTAGAAACAAACTTGAATAATTCTCCACGAAAATATTTTTTTATGTCAGTCCTACCTGTTTCATGACAATATTGCGTTTTCGCATTTTGACAGATTTGTTAAAGCGTGTTGCATGCACTTCTGCTATGAGGGCAAGTGCAAAGCGCTGTTACTGCCGGCTGATTTTTGTAATTACAACAGATCCCCCACCTGGTCAGCTTGTCAGGCGTCTTTGATTTGTCCAGAAGGTAATTTCACTTTATTCCCAAAAGGAAGTCAGAAATTTGATTGGATGAAATTAATCTGGGACATGGTTTAAAAGTAAAAGACTGTTAACCACCGGATTCGTGTGTAGTAAAGCCTGTATCATTTTACTGTACAGACAAATTAAAAGGTATGTTTAAGTGAGAAATATTTTGAAGCATAACTAAAATGGCACGAAGTATATGTTTCTCTGAGAGCATCAGGTTCTCAATAAAATACATATAAAAAATATACATATAAATACTGTTTCTGTCTATTCCAATTAACCACTAATGATAAAAAAAATAAAGACCACCAAAAAGAACAAGTGGGGCTGTATTTAATACCAGTTTGCACCTAAATCAAGCTGTCTAAAATCAACAGAAACGTGAATATAAAACCGAAAATAAATTGTTTCACATTAGTCAGAGACAATGAATACAGTGGTCGGGGAGTTACCCTCAGCCCTGTGGACAGACCCTGGAGTAAACAAGCTCCGAAAGGTCAGTTGTCGACCCAACTCAATTGGTCAAACATCTGAATTTATATACAGAGGGCCACCAAACTTTATCGTTGTGATAAATGTTTTATATAGGCTAATCCGACATTTTAGTTAAATTCACAAGAATAAAGGAATAAGGACAGACTTTCGCACTAGATTTACAAACTGAAGACAAAAAAAACGGCTGCGGTGGGTGTAGGGAGAGTCTTTTAATTTAATACTTTTATCTCTGTTGCAATATGTTTAAACTCGTAATTTAAATGAATACCGTAAAAATCCTGGTCTACCTGCCTACACGGACCCCATAAATGTAAACATCCCCACTTCCGTGCTTTTCTCCACCCTACTTTAAAACACTGACTCTTCACAGGATGAATATCAAACCAGCATTAGAAATGCATCGATTATTTTTTTTTTGGTCTCTGTTGCATTGAATTGCACAAAAAAAGTGTGAAGCAGCAGCTGTTAAACCAGATTTTCCCAGCTTTAACAAACGTATTTCCAGGGTCACTGAGCTAACGAAACATGCTCGTCGCTCAAATCGTTCATTGTTTTTTTTTTCTGTGGGTCGGTCGTCGTCAGGCTCGACTGCAGCATTCGAGTGGTTAAACGCTTTAGAAGGTAAACATAATTAGTCAAACTTTAAAACTCGGGTTTGTAGACTTCTCTTAAACAAGTCACGAACGCAACATGCTGTTTCATAAATGCTTGTTTTAAGTCTGCTGTGAGAAAAGGGGGAAAGAGCCATAATCTTACCGTACCAGTTTTCCAAATAACATGTTTCAAAATACGTTGTTTGTTCCTGATCTGACCCTTTATTGAATCGGAGTCCCCTGGACTTCTCGCTTGTGCAGTGCGCTAAGTGTGGGGGCTTCAGTTTGTTTGCATTATTCAGTTTGCTTTCAGCGTTAACCAATGCAGATGAAGTAATGGTGACAACTGTCCTTGGGGACAATGGCTCTATTGGCACATGTCCTTTAAGTAGAGATGTTTTCCAGAAAGGTAAAAAAAAAGCCGAGCTATAGATCTCTTACTTCTTAAATAGAACATGCTGCGAAATGTTTATGTAGTGATTTAAATGTGAAAAAGACAGTGATTATCAGAATGTTCCTTTTGTTTTGCTTATTTGTATGTTTTTCAGGGCGTTTCAGGCGAAGGAGACAATCAGATCTAGATTAATACATTACTATTCTCTAATCTGTACTTGAACATAGATGTTCACTGGTGAAGATATACTGTAGTTAAAATATATCCAACGCAAACTGCTTAACAATAATTAGTGTTCCCTTAATGACTGATTTTATGAGTCTGTTTACATTAGATTTAAACATAATACAGAATTTAAATCCAGTTCTTAAGTATTTTCAGGACATATTTACATACACAAGATAGGAAAAATGAAACTATCAATTATAAAATTAATGACAGTAGTTGGGACATCTCTTTGAATCATATGCATGTGTACATTCATGTATGTAGAGAAAGTCGTTAGTAGAGTAATTCATGATCCGTGTTGTACACTTCCAGTTGAATAAAAAATTCTGTCCAAAGCACAGGCAATTATATCAGTTTGCGTTTTTGGACATCATGATTCCGCTACAAGAATGTGATCTCCATTAACCCATGTGAATTTATGTAAGTGCATAATTAATCTGTAAAACACAGAAATAAGCATGAAATATCTGTCCTAGCGAGTGTCTTGTGTCCTGATGCAATGGAGAAATTCGTAATGTTTGTTCCTTGATTTAATTAGCAATAGTAGAGCATTTGCTGATTTGTGCCACAGAGTGGTATTATGGGCAGTGCAATCCCCCTTTGAGAGATGCATGATGAGAACATATGTCTGATGTTGGTAATTGTGCATAATCCTCTCTCAAGTAGGTGAATTCTGTAGTTCTGCTGGAGAGTTTACAGATGGTTTCAACAAGTGTTTCATGTACAAATCCGGCTTAAAGTCATTTCAGAATTTAATTGAATAAAATAAAAGGAACTATTACTTTTGCTCGTATTCTGAACCTTTCTGTTTCCTCTTCTTAATATTGTATATATACTGTATACCAAAGTGATGTAAAATATGTCTGTTGTGAACAGAAAAAAACACAAAAACATCATTAGCATATAAAATGGGAAAGTAGGTCATTACACTGGAAATTATTCTTGGCACCAAAATAGTGTATATAGTGCCATTTCTTCAAGAGGGGGGATACTTCACAGCAACTCAGCACTCTTACAAGAAACAGACCGTTTCCTGTAAATCCGGGGAACATTTTCTAGTAAATGACAATGTGCTTAATGTGCAATAGAGGTCACATCTGCCTCTTTTAAACGTTTGAATTTTAAAAAGCCATAGCTGCAAAACTAGGGTTGTGTGAAACATATTCTGCAGGCAGAAATCTGCAAACAACAGTAACACAGCTGAATGGGCTCTTGTGTTTAAACAAACTTGGACTCTTCTGTGTCATCAGTCATTTTCCTAGAGCGAGACCAGGTATCAGCCCCCTTTCTTAAAACAGGGTACTTCTCATGTCTGAATATAGCTGTGCCAAGTAGTGAGGTTTGGTAGACACACAAGAGGGACAATACTTAACATATTCCCATAGTCGGTGAAGGGGTAAGAGAATCCATGGGTCAATCCAATCCAGGCTCGCAGGACGGGTGCCAAGCAGGATACACACTGGATGGGACGCCAGTCTATCGCAGGGCACACTCAGACACACACCAGAGACAATATTCCTAGAAGCCAATTAACCTATCAGTATGCTTTCAAACTTTTGGAAGAAACCTGAGCCCCCCCGAGGAAACCCACACAAACACAGGGAGAACATACAAACTCCACACATATAGTACCCCAGGTCTGAAACTGAGCCCAGGACCTCAGCATAAGGAGACAGCAATGCTAACCACTATGCTACTGTGCCACCTGTGTGAGAACGTGTTCCACAATATTTTATGCTATTTTTAATGCACTATAGTCATAAGCAGCATATACAGTAAGTTCCATAATAACCTTAGCAGGGATACCTTATGAATTCCTTCTGTATCGATAATAAATATTTCTGCTCAGAGGGAAGAGACAATGCTTCAATATAATTGCATTGCATGACAAATTTAAACTGAAAAGCACATTGTTCTAGTTTTTGTTTTATCTACAGTACTTGCCATTTCATACAATTCAAGGAGATGCAGTTTTAATTTTAAATGACAAGACTGCTATTTTCTACTAACTGTAGAAGTGCTTAACTGTTTTCAATCCATACATGGAGCCTTTAACTCATGATAATGCACAACAACAAGCACTGATTTTGCATGTGAGTTAAGTCTCTCTACCTATTTTAATTAAATGTGCAAGTCTGGGTTTTTTCAAACACTTTATCCCCTAATTTGTTTAACTTCAGTTTTTTTTTGAAAATATGAATGAAGACAAGAAATCAATTGCATTTGCATTTACATTTTTACATAATATAATCATTTTTTTAATTATTGATTTAATCATTTACCTAATTACTGATGTAATCAAAATGGGAAACCCCATAATCACAAGGTAGTCAAACACATACTTAAGTCCATACATGCAATGCTTGTGCTTGTTGACAAAACAGAATTATACATTTTGTTTACATGTTTAATAGGTCATAGTTGTCAAGCAATTATTATTATTATTATTATTATTAAATGCTCATTTTATTATTTATTTGGTATCCAATATCATCCATCCATCTTCTAACCACTTCATCCAATACAGGATTGTGGAGATGTCAGAGCCTATCCTGGCAGGCAAGAGGTGCAAGGCAGGATACAGGACGCCAGTCCATCTTGGGGCATACACAGACACACATGTCGCACCAGGGCCAGTTTTTCCCAGAAACCAATTCACCTACCATAATGTTTGTGGACTGTGGGAGGAAACCGAGAGCTGGGGGGGGAGGCATGCAAACTCCACACAGACAGCACCCCAGGTCTGGAATGAAACACGGGGTCCCAGAGACATGAGGCAGCAATGCTGACCACTGCGCCACTGTACCACCCTATTCCATACCAGTTTCCAAAATAGTTTTGTGGTTGACAGTTTTAAAGCATGTAGAAATATGCAGTTGCCTCTGGCTTGATCAAGCACTGTCATTAAGTCTGTAGAATCAATTCCTTCCACTCTGGACTGCACTGCTAAGGGCCGAGTGTCCCACTGATGTGTCTCAATATTAGATTGGTCGACTGGTACTTCTTGGTACAGAAATAATTTACATATTCCGAAATCTTGCAAAACTGATATCTGATAGTTTTCATTTTGAAAGATGTTTTTGATCATTTGAAAAAAACAAAGAACACACTATTAAATGCTTTATTTGTTAAGATACTGGATTTTCGGGTTTCAGTTAAAAGTTACACACGTGGCAATGAAGAATACTTATATTATTAACTTTGTTTGCTTTGGTAGTTTTTTATTTCTGACAATTTTGGTCAAAGCAATGTAAAACTACTAAACTTACCATAAATGAATTTACACAATAAAAAGAGTGGCATGGCTATGAAAAAAGACAAACAATATCATAAAAGGTTATAATGAAATTTGATTTAGTAAAAGGGGAAAAGGTACGCTCCCAATTTTACGTCATTGCAAAAATGCTGCAAAATATCATACAGAACTGTAGAAAAATGATAATGACTCCTTTGCATTTGCAGGTACAGCATGTTCTTGTATTTTTTCAGAGAATACTGCTAAGGTGACCACTACAGTTTCTTTAAATCAGTAACATCATGTTATATCCAGAATCAAACTGTTAACCACCATGGTACAGTAAAGCTGCCTAAATATAAGAAGCCTCTTATTTTAATTTAATTTTAAATGTAGGTCCATTAACACAATTACCAATTTTAAAAATGAAAAGATGTACTTCTTTTGGAGTAGCTGAAATATCAATGGAGGCCAGGGATTTGTCTTAACGATACACCACTGACAACACAAAATAATACATATATGAAAATAATTTTAAAAAATACTCTGCAGTTGTAATTCAATTACCTTTCCAAATGAAATTACTTTCCCAAGATTCAAAGCTCCCTGTAGAGGGAAAGTTTAAAAAAAGACTGAAAAGGGAAGCAGCTGTCTGAAAGTGAAAGTGGCTGGGTTTTGCCAATGGAATAGGTTCCCTAGTAAAATTAGTTGCCAAACGTTTCCATTTCTCAACTGTTATAAGATTTATATCAGCTTTAATGGTCCTCATGGTGAACAAGATGTCCAGCAGGGTGCCCATAAACCGGCGAAGTCGTGTTGGAAATGATTTGCTTTGTGCAGTCAGAAATTAAATAAAGCAAAACTGAAGGAATCACCAGAGTTTCATTGCCCTAAATGAAGCACATCCATCTGAACATTCGGTCGAGGGCGATCAGAACACAGAAGCCCTTGGTGAAACCTACCTCCTGCAAGGGCAAACAGAGGGAAGATCTACTGTGAGATTCCCCTGCAAACTCAGTCAGAGAGGGAAGGCGAGCATATTGACCGACCGCTAGCAGGGCTGTTCATAAAGGTATGGGTGTCCCTTTCCCTGTCTTTCTCTTTGTCCTTATCCTTGTCCTTGCTCTCATGCTTGTGCTTGTGCTTGTGTTTGTGCTTGTGCTTCTTCTTCTTCTTCTTGTGCTCATGGTGATGGTGGTGGTGGTGGTGGTGGTCGCTGTGCTTGGAGGAAGAATTGGTTTCTTTGCCAAACATGGAGAGGGGAGTCGCTGGCATGGACAGGATGGTTTGTTCCACACAAGGTGGTTCTTTCCCTGTGTCAGGCACATGAGAACAATGATTTCAACAGAGAGGTACTTTTGTCAAAAACAGGCTAGTGTGATTACTGGTTGTCCTGTAAAAATGGCAAATCAAACATGCAGACGAAGTACCCTAAATTAATATCAACTTCGACACTTTGAAATTTACTTAACATAAACATGTCTCAATATGTATGTCACTTGAAAACTCTGGATTGGACACAAAGTTTTTTTTCCAGTATGACCAAATGCTTGGAATTACCCAAGAATAAAACATGTATTATGTTTATTATTAATATATCTCCCATTATCACAAACACAAATTGCAAAATCACTGTTCTGACTTTGATGTCCGAATACTTTTGGAGAATTATTTGCCCATAAATGTACACATTTCTTTGTTGTCTCTTACCTGGTGTAGATGGCCTTTCAAGCATATTTAAATGATGATAGATAAAAGCCTGGCTGTCATGGACTGTATCCATATCAATATCTTCCTCCTCCTGCGAATTTGAGAACTGTAAAAGAAGAAATCAGTCACCACTTATCATTTTTAAGGAAAATATCTTAAGAAGAAACGCTATTTTAGCACACTAATTTTTGCAAGGATGATAACATCATGAAATCACTCCAACTCTCTTAAATGTCAAACAAGAGGGAAACATGAAGAACCACAACAAACAGCAGCAAAAATGTTTACAACCAGTCCTGCTTTCTAAAAATCCATAGGTTAGCTATTATCAGCTGCCCAGTGTTACAAATATTACCAGTAACAGAAAATGTAAATTTAAACCTGATTTAAAGGCAAGGGACATGTTTGTAGCCTGCAATTTAAAATGTTATAGAATGGAAACAAAATAAACTGCGAACTAAATAACTGAGATTTAAAAAATTATTTTCAAATTTCTATTTTTTTTAATTACAGAGGAATGTTTACTATATATTCACTAATAATGCCTAGAAGCTGCACAAAAACAATGACATCTGACATTCTGCCACTCATATACTGAGAGGCATGAAAGTGGCAAGAAACACTTGTATTCCCAGCTTTCATTATGCTTTTAATCCGTGTGTGACAAGATTTTTATTAAGTCTATGAAACCTTAACAGATGTTGGACTATGCTCATACACCACGAATATCACAGAAATCCAGTTGTGTGCAAAACTATTAATGCTGTCATCAAGTTTTATATTCCAGATTCTGTGATTTTGAGTAAAACTGGATGGAACGACAGCATTTTTGGTTTGAGTATCTTCATTTGTCACTTCAGTTTTAAAGAGAGGAGTGGCGAATTTGGCCAAACAAAGTCTTAATTTTTATTTACACTCATCTTTTTTTATCAGGGT